TTTGAGGCGCTCTTTCCGTTTCTGTGCTGGCTCAGGTCCAATGGCCCTAATTTTGAAAATTTTCGGCGTAAGACTGCCCAAGTCAGCCCTAAGAGCGCCTCTACCTCCAAGACGACATCGGAGAGGTCCACGAGGGCCCGAACACGGCCCATGAACGCTCCAAGAGGGCCTAATAATTATGGCGCTAAGACGGCCCAAGAGACTCCCAAGATACAGCAGGAGGTCCCCAAGGGAGTCCCCAAGAGGCAAAACATCGCCCCATTCCCTCCGAAAAACGTACATGTTCAGCAAATTAGCTTCTTTGGACTTCGCAGTGTCCAGCCCAGGTGACGGAAAGAGCGGAGCGAGAGACATTTCGTAGGGGGCGAAGCCATTTTGGAGAAGGGGTCCGGCGGATGGGGCAGGACCGGGCAAATTGGTCTACTGGACCGTTTTCCATCGCTTTTGTTCGAGTGAAGCGGCCCCCGGGCGGCTCCCATGGCCTGCTTCCTCGTATTTTTTAGAATCACGCGGCCCACGGGCCCCAAGACGGCCCAAGAGCTCGGCTCCGAGACGGCCCAAGAGGGCGCGGGGAGGGGAGCAAAGACAAGGAAGGAGGGGAGGAAAGAGGAGCAAGAGGGAACAGAAAAATACGCGATGGGGGGGAACGAAGACACGATGGGGAAAGCAAGCGACCCCAAGGGAAAGAACTAAGACTCCGAGGGCACAAAAAGAGACCCCGAGAGGAGGGCGGGTGGGACACCCCGGACCCCACCCCCCCAGCGAGGGGAAGGAAAAAAACGCCGGCGGGCAAAATGAAGAGACCACCCCGAACGACTTCCGGTGGGGGGGCCGAACAAACAACACAGGGGGCGGGGGAGACAAAACCAAGCCCGGAGGAGGACGAGGAGGCAGGGGAGGAGGAGGAGGAGGAGAGAGGAGGAGGAGGAGGAGGAGGAGGAGGAGGAGGAGGAGGAGGAGGAGGAGGAGGAAGAGGAGGAGGAGGAGGAGGAGGAGGGGAGGGGAGGAGGAGGAGGAGGAGGAGGAGGAGGAGGAGGAGGAGGAGAGGAGGGAGGAGGAGGAGGAGGGGGAGGGGGAGGATGAGGAGAAGTGGAGGAGGAGGAGGAGCCCCTTTTTACTCGACGAGTGGGGCTGTGTGCCGACTGATGGGAGTACATGTGAGGCTTGTGGAGCCCGTCGCTGGACCGCACTCTCGCGGATCCTGTCCTGGTCAGCTATGCAGGCTGGTGCGCACGCTCGATCGATGGTGCAACTCGGGCGCGGGAGGAGGAGGAGGAGGAGGAGGAGGAGGAGGAGGAGGAGGAGGAGGAGGAGGAGGAGGAGGAGGAGGAGGAGGAAGAGGAGGAATGAGCAGCGACGCCGGGGAAGGCAGGGAGGAGCGGCAGGAGGAGACGCGGAGGAGCGGACGGAGCGCAAGGAGGAGACGCGGAGGAGGGGAGGAGGGCAGCGGGGCAGGGCCCGGGAGGGGGGGGGGAGGCGGCGAGGCCTCTCGCGCCGCGCGCCTCGGACGGCCGCGCGCCGGTAGTCAAAATTTCAGGCCGCCCTCCGGGCGCCCAGCCTCCGCACACGCGGCGCGCAGCGCCGCCTGGCCCGGCCCGCCGAGCGGGTTGTTGCCGAGGTAGAGCACCCGCAGCTGGGGCAGCGCGCCCGGGGCGCGCAGGGCCTCCGCCAGCCGCGCGGCGCCCTCGTCGCCCACGCGGTTGCCGGTGAGGTCGAGCTCCCGCAGCTGGGGCAGCGCGCCCGGGGCGCGCAGGGCCTCCGCCAGCCGCGCGGCGCCCTCGTCGCCCACGCAGTTGCCGAAGAGGGAGAGCCCCCGCAGCTGGGGCGTGGCGCCCGAGGCGAGCACGGCGGCCAGCTGCTGCGCCGCCTCGTCCCCCCACTCCAGCCTGTCGTAGACCAGCTCCTCCGCGGCCTCGAAGCGCTGCGCGAAGGCGGAGCGGTAGAGCTCGGCGACCCGGGGCCGGTCGTCCTTGCCGTTGGTGAACCCCTTGCTCTGCAACTGCACGTCGAAGGCGTCGGGCAGGAGGGGCGCCCGGCGCCCCGCGGCGCAGGTCGCCATCAGCGCATGATAGTCGGTCTCCGTTCCGGTGGATCGGCCGAGATCCACGAGCCGGTTATACGGCTTCGTCAGCATCGCCCAAGAGGACTCGCAGAAACACCAGCCACGGTTGAAATACTGCTCCGTGTTGCCCGACCGGGTGTACTTTGCAGCATCGCCGTAATCATCTGGAAACCGCGTCAGCATGAAGACGACAGTGGCGGGGTGGGAGTAGAAGCTCCCCAGGCTCCCCAATGCCTCCTTGAAGAGCGCATTCTCCAGCTCGAAGCGGCCGAGGGCATCGTCCTCGAAAGAATCTGAACCTTCGAGCCGCTGGTAGGTGCGCTGCTGGGGAACGCCCTCGCGGTCCCTACAGTTTTGATGGATGCAGCAGAAGTCCATGAATACACCCCAGCGGCCCATGAACGCGTTGTTCCCATAGCCCGACAGCATCTGCAGGGCCTGGCCCAAGATGCGCAGGTTGTGCCCGCGTGGATCCGGGTGGTTCGCCTGCAGCCAGCAGTGTGATATGCACGCGATGCGCAGCAGCGACCCCCCTTCAACTTCAGGCGTCGCGGCCTTGACGGCGCCGTGGGGCATGAAGGCCGTCGGCGGCAACGCCTGGCGCGGCTCGAGGACGCCGCCAGTGCGCGCTCGCCTCGCCATCCACTCCGCGTCCATCAGGACGACCGCTCCACTGCCGAGCACGGGGTCGAGCTCCAGGCCGCCGCCGCTCTCCCACTGTGCCTCGCAAAGAGGGGGGGGGGGCCAAAAGATGGGGGGGGGTCACGCCGACGAGGGGAAGGGGGGGGGGGGGAATAGAGAGGGGGGGATGCAAGGGGAAGCGACGTCGAGAGAAGGGGGAGGGAAATCGAGAGGGGGGGGTGCAAGGGGGAGCGATGGCGAGGGCCTCTTCCCTTTTCCGTGCTTTACTTCTTCCTCGGTGCGCTCGCACACGGCAGCACGGCGGCTGCCACGCGTCGGTGAGCTCGCCGAAGCGGCCCGGCGTTCGCCCCGGGAGGCCACACTTTTGCAGGCAAACGGCCACTTCTTTTGGCTGCGCTTTTGGTTTTGCTTTGATGGTGGCCGATGGGCCAGCGAGCGTGCCAGAAAGGCGCGCAGCCTCGTGCTGCGCGCCGTGCCAGCGCGAGCCCCGCAGGGGCTCGCGCTGAGGAGTGGGCGCGTGGCCGCCTTGCCACAAAACCATCATCCTTGTCCTTCTCCCGTCGCGGTCTCCTTCCCTCTCTCCCCCTCCCCTCGGTGTTAGTGCACGCGTGCCTGCGCGTAACCCATCACCACATGCCGGCGTCCTCGACGTGCGCGAACAGGGTCCCGGGGCCCTCGTATAGCTATAGCATCGATCCGGCTCGAGAGCTGCGGCGGAGAGAATCTGGGGGTCTAGAGCCCCAGTGCCGTAACTGTTCGCGCCGGTTTGTGGCTGCTTTCCGTGGCGGGGCTGCAGGGAAGGGGCGGGAGGAGAAGGAGTGAGGACAGGGAGGCTCTCTTGGGCCCTCCACGGGCTGTCTTGGGGCCCTGTCAGGAGCCGCTCGGGCCGTGCTCGGAGGAGCTCGAAGGTCCCCAGAACAGTCTTGAGTCCCGTTGTTAGCTCGAAAAGGCGGAAGCCAGAAAATCAGTCAGAAACCTTGCAAGCAAATATATGATTTTGTCTTGGGGGCCGCTTAGGTGCCCTCATGAAGCGTTTTGGAGTTCTCTTGGGCCTATTCGACGCCATCTTGGCCGTCTTCGAGCTCAATTTACCCATCTCGGGGCATTATTCGTCTGTTCTGGAGGTTTCTTGCGCCGTCTTGCTTCCCTTTTCGGGCCCTCTCGGAGGCCCCCTGGGGGGGTGCAAAACGACCACTCGATGTTCCCGAGGTGGGTGGGGCCCTTTCTAGGATCTACTTGTTTTACATACGCGCATTTTCCACTCCATGGATTGCATCACGTAGCTCGCATCCCATGGACTGAACTCAGACAATGCACATCGAAAGCGCCACATAGACGGACTGCACCACAGACGCTGGAAATCGAGTGCAGCAACCAGCAACCGCTGTTTAGGCGTCCTTTCGGGAACATATTCGGCAACGCGCGGCCCCCAAACACGTTCGGCTTTTTCGCCCAATTTTGACGTCCCGGGGGGCCCGAAAACGGAGCCCTGGAGGCCGAAATCGCAAAAGGAATGCCGACACCACGGAAAATGGCAACGCCACAAGCCCGGGCTGGGGCGGCTGGGCCTGCGCATCCGCTGGCACAGGGACCTCCTCCAGCTCCGGCATGTCCGGGGGCAATTGCGGCTCCGCGGCCTCGCGACCGGAGGGGGGGCGCACAGAATTACCTAGCCAGGGCAGGGCCGGAAGAGGAGGATGAGAGAGGACGGGGGGGGATGAGGAGGAGGAGGACCAGTGCAAATCCAAGGCGCATCACCGATGTTGCAACAAAGCGTTCATCAACGATGTTGCAATCAACCCCCTTTCCAAGTTCACTCTTCACGCCACTACAAGAATTTGTATTTACTGCTGGAAGTACCCCGTTGGAGGACAGCTGTCTGTCTGAGACCCCTTAACCCTACCAAAACACCAATCCTTGGATTTGAACGCCACGAACCAACTTTAGCGTTGCGGTGCGCCGACCCTGAATCGGGCCAGGAGATCATTCTTGGGACGGACTTGAACGCACCACTCGTAAGACGGTCCCGCGAAGGAATCAACGCGACTGTTGCGCCCTGACAATCCTAAATCGCGCCGGAACTGTTGTGCACCTTTAACACATATGCGCGCGGCACTACGGCGAGAACCACATTTTGATTACCACCCGCCCTCCATCAGTGAAACTCTTGCGCACTTTTGAAACGAATTCGCGCGGCGCTAAGGCGAGAGCCAAGGATGGGATGTCAGATATGGCGCGAGCGCGCCTGGCCTAACTTCCCCCCCACCCACCCCTACCCTTATCCCACCACCCATAAACATCCCCCGCCTCCCCTCCACGGAGCCCCGAGAGTGCCAGACGCAGCCTGAAGTGCGCCGGGGGGGCCCGCTGGCCCACGGACGATGCCCGCGAACGATGCCGCGAGCCCCCCCCGGCCCCTCGCCCAGATGTCGCTGGAGGTCCCCCGGGGTTCTCTGGAAGTCCCCGGGGAACCTCTCGAGGCGCCCAGCGGCCCCAAAGAGGGAGAGCGCGGAAAAGGGGGCGGGAGGAGGGGAGGGGGGGTGAGGGCAAGCTCAGTGCGCTCGCGTCATCTCTGACGTCCTATCCGTCCCTCCCATCCCTTGCCATGGCGCAGATTTCCTCTCTATTCGCACAGTCGGCTATCGAGCAGGGCACTGATCCCGAGGGTGCGCGATGCATCGTAGAGCACGGCGTAGCAGGGTGTAGAAGAGCACGGCAGAGCGTAGTATGGCATAGCATGGCGTGGCGTTGCGTAGTGAAGAGTTGCATCACAAAGCATTGCAGCGCAAAAAGAGGCATCGCACAGCGGCACAGAAGAGAACATGGTATAGCATGGCGTTGCAGATCAAAGCGTAGCATGGCATAACATGGCGTGACACTGCGTAGTCAAGCACTGCAATCCTAGCATTGCAGCTGAAGGCGTGGCATCGTACAGGAACACCGCTTAGCATTGCGTTGCATGCCGTGACATGGCACTGGAAACAATGTCGCCAACGCTGCAGCGGGAACACGACTCGGAACGAGCGGAAGCGCGGAAATGAGGCCAGATCTGCAGCGGGAGCACGCATCGGAACGAGCGGAAACGCGGAAAATGAGGCCACCGCTGCAGCGGGAGCGTGATTCGGAACGAACGGAAACCCAAAAAATGAGGCCAACGCTTCAGCGAGAACAACATTTTGAAACCAAAGCCCCAGCGAAAACCCAACTCCCGGGAATCCTGTGTAGAAAACAGTACGCAGAGGGGTGGGCGAATATCTTCCGGACGTCATCAGGGGAGACAGGAGAGTAGTATTCATATTGTGAAATTGTCGTGGGGTCAGGGTCAAGGAGGGGGGGCGGGGCGGGAGGCGGGGAGGGGGCAGGGGGCGGGATGTCAAATGGAGGTTGCCTCCATTCCCTCCTCCTCCCTCCTCCTCACCCCTCGTTCCTCCTCGTCCTCCTCATCCTCCTTTTCTCCTTCCTCCTCTTTCTTCCTCCTCCTTCGCATCTCTCTTCCGACTAATTGCCCCTCATCGTCCAACCTTCCCGTCCCCAACCCCCTCTTTTTCTCGTTCTCGCCTCCCCTCCTCCTTCTCCTTTTCCTCCTCCTCCTCCTCCTCCTCCTCCTCCTGTTCCTGCTCCTCCTCCTCCTCTCCTCCTCACCCCCCCTCCTCCTCCCCTCCCCCCGGCGAGCTGGCAATGCCCCAGCCTGCGACCGGTAGGACGCCATGCAGCAACCCATCTCGATGCTTGCAGAAGGCGGGGTCGCCAGCGACTTCCAAGTTGCAACCAACTGCGGAAGCTTGAACCAACAACGCAGTGGCCAGGTTCCCATGCCCCTCCTTCTTTCAGACCTTCTTATGCACTCCTGCTCACTTTTAGTTTAGCGACTGCCTCTTCGACGCGACCCTCGACCATCCTCCAGGGCCCAGCCGCCTCTCGGGATGCCGAGGCGCCCGATGACCAGCCGCTAGAAACTGCGCCGTCGAAGTTGGTGACTGGCGCGCAAGAGGCCCAGCTCAGCGCAAACCCACCTCGGCCAATTTTGAAGAACCGCGCTGCAAAACCGCTGCAAGCTGCTCCATCGAAGCGTGTTCCCAGGAAACCCATCTCGGTCACCAAAAGAATTTCCATCGCTTTCTGCCCGGGTGGCTGGCAGAAAACATAGGACGGCGATGGCCCCAATCCCATGCCTGGCATGATCTTGCTCTCCTTAAGCTTCAATTTCATACCAGACGCTGCAAGCCGATGGGCAAGTTGTGAAATCATCTCCACGGCCTGGTCCACACCAATGCAAACAGACCAATCTTGTCAGCCCAGAACATATGACTGATGAGCAAATCTCCAATGTTTCATCCAAAACCAATCCTCTGCCACTCCCCCACCAGAGCAGATTACATAATATCAATTACGGCGTTGGAGCAAGGCGGTGTCTCGGCTCCTCCTTGCCTTCCCCCATGGTTGAACGTGAAATCTGCGGAGTTGTCCATGGCATCATCATCAACATCATCAACATCGTCATCATCATCATCATCATCATCATCATCATCATCATCATCAGCATCAGCATCAGCATCATCATCATAATCATCATCATCATCATCCTCATCTTCATCTGCATCATCATCATCAGCAGCATCATCATCATCAGCACCATCCTCATCACCAGCATCACCATCACCACCATCATCACCACCATCACCAGGATGCTACTGATGATGACGGTGATGATGATCATCATCATCATCGTCATCGTCGTCGTCATCATCAGTAGCATCGTCATCATCATCACCACGATCATCATCACCACAACCATCATCACCATCTTCATGTTCATCATCCCCCTTGTTCGCCCCCCCCCCCCGCTCACCTTCACCTCCTCTCCCTCATCATCATATGAATATAAATGTCCATTTCCATTGCCGGCACGGCGCGAAAACACATGCCACAGGTTACGGCTCCCCCAAGGACGGCGGACGACGGACGGCGACGGACGGGTCCTCCCTCCTGAGCAATGATTTCGGCATGCGCGCGCGGGAGGCTCAAGCGTATGGCCCGCACGATGTTGTCTGCTAGAGATTCGCATGAAGCGCGCTTGTCAGATCAACGAGTGTGTAGTGTGTGTGTGTGTGTGTGTCGCATGACATTATTTGACGCGGGTGCGGGGGAATCGATACCAGCCTGGCTGGGGTACTGGCGTGCCATGGCGAACGATCGTGCGCACTTCAATCGAAGCGCAATTCGCGGAGCGGTTTACGGATAAGTCCAGCCGCGACACGGGGCAGAGCCTACTCTGCTGTACGAGAGAGAGCCGACGTCATGCAACGGACATGAGGCGATCCATGTGGCGCAGCCTGCGGGGTGCCACGTGTGCGGTGCAGGCTGTGGGGCGCAAGCGCCTGCCGATGCACGAAGCGGCCACGGGCGGAGACTGGCCGCAAGCCAGGAACACTCGGCCAGCGCACGAGGCGCCCACGAGGCGGCGACGTGCGGCGCCTGGCCGAACCCTGCGACGATCCGCCCTGCTCAGTCCGCCGATCCCCCGCCTGCCCGGTGTGGTGAGAAGGCGCGTGAGACACTTGGCTGGCCCCCTCCCCCCCCTCCCCCCCCCAAGGTTCCCAGATCGCATTCGGGGGAGGAGGAGGAGGAGGAGAAGGAAGAGGAGGAGGAGGACCAGTGGAAACCAAAGAGTCGTCAGCGATGTTGGAATTAAGCCTCCCTCCAATCTCCCTCTTCACAGGCCCCTACAACGGTTCATTTCCATTGAGGGAACTGCTCGTTGGAGGACAGCAGTTTGAAGATCCTGGAGCGTGCCAAAACATTGCTCTCGGGGTCTGCAACGCCACGTATACACCTGACTGCTGCGCCTTGACGATCCAGAAATCGTGCCAGAACGCCTTTTGGGGATTTCAACACAGCGGATCAACATAGCTGTTGCGCCCGCGTGATCCGGAACCCTTCCAGGATACAATTTCTGGTACGATGATAATGGAAATCCGTGACACTCTTACAAACTTGATTAACGAATGTGCGCGGCGCGAAAAACGGGACCCTCATTTTGAAAAGAATCCGCGGGGGAGGAGGAGGAGGAGGACCCAGAATATAACCTCCCGCCCCAAGTCCATTACGAAGGGTCCACACAAGAAATCCCCCGAACCCTTGCGGGGGCCTCTCGGCGTGTGAGACTCTTCCCCCCCGCCCTTCTGACTACCTACCAGACCACCCCGACCCAACCCGAAGGCCCGAGTTCCGGGATGGCGGGGGCACGGGTTCACAATGTGTTTCTGTCAACGTTCCCCGACCAGCCCCCACTGGCCACGGAGGGCGAACTGAGGCCTTCGGGCTGGGCTGGGGTGGTTTGGTGGGTGGTGACCTTCCCGTACAGTCATCGGCCTGACCTAAGGAACGATAAATAAGGAACGAAGCCCCTTTTTTTATCCCAAGGAATAACGCATAAGGAACGATAAATAACAAATAACGCATAAGGAACTGTAAATAACGCATGCAAGCCTAAGGAACGACCGAGCCCCTTTTGAAAAGTAAATGTTCCTTACTCAAGCCGCTCACCGATTGGTCTGGCCAATCGCTCGCAATTCGATCTGGTGCTCTCGGTGGCCCTCGACGCTCTGCCAGCCCCCACCGGGGACGGCGGCGGCCCGCCCCACGGTGCGCCCTCGTGCGCCCCGCTGTCGTCGTCGTCGCCGTCGTCGCCGTCGTCGTCGTCGTCGTCGCCGTCGCCGTCGTCGCCGTCGCCGTCGTCGTCGTCGTCGCCGTCGTTCCCGTCGTCGTCCTCGTCGGCGGCGGGGCGACGGCAGCCCGCCGCCGCCCCGTCGCCAGGGCCGCCGTTTTTTTCTCTGCTTCTCTTTCGCGCCGTCGCGGCGCCGCGGGGCGCCTGCCCGGGGCCCCCGAGGTTGAAGGGGGCGGCCAGGAAGAGGCGTCCAGGACGACATGGCCCGAAGGGAGTGCGCGAAAACGGGAACATTCTTTATACATATATACATACATATACATATACATATACATATACATACATGCATACATACATACATATATATATATATATATGTATATATAACTATAATGCGAAAAACAATTATGTGCATACATAAATGCATGCATGCATGCATGCACACCTACATACATACATGATATATACACAGGCGTGGATACATACGCGCATGCATACACACATGCACGTTCACATGCATACATACACCTGTACATACATACATACATACACACATACACGCGGTCATTGATACATCCATACACACATGCATACATGCATGCATACATGCAAACTTATACGTATGTGTACAAACATACATGCATGCATGCATGCATACACGCATGCATGAACGCATACGTACATGCAGTCATGCAGCCAGCTATTCATACATGGATGTCCACATACATGACTACATGACTGCATGCATACATGCATGCATACATGCACACATGCATGCACGCACATATGCATACAATCTTACATACACACATACACACATACATACACACCTACATCCATACATATGGACGTACCTACATACATACAGACATCCATACATGCATACTTACATCACATATATATGCACGCATGCGCACATACATACCGATATACATACATGCATACACGCACGTACATGTTTACATACACACGAAGACATCACCATACACACATAAACAGACCTGCGTACATACATGCAGTCATGTACGCATACATACATACATGCATATCCGCCGCCTGGGGAGCCCAGGTCGTGGGACCCCAGCGGGCGGTGGACATGGACATGTCTTGGTCCGACGGGCGCCGAGCATCTCCAGATTTGCCGCATGTCGGGGTCCCCCATCCGAAGCTCTCGATCCCCCAGGCGGCGGTTCTGTACAAGGGACTCCTCGCCTACGAGCGCGCGCGCAGGAGTGGCGGCCCAGGGGCGTAATTATTGCGAGGAGGAGGACGGGAGGAGGAGGAGGAAGAGGAGGAGGAGGAGGGGGAGGGGGAGGAGGAGGAGCAGGAGGAGCAGGAGGAGGAGGAGGGAACTCGCATCAGGGGAAGGCTAAACATGCTATGGCCTGCGTTCGAAACCTTGGCGGGGCGGCCCTGCCTGTCCAGGCTGAGCAGCTGGCTCAGCAGCGGCGCCAGCGGGCAGGGACACCTGCCGACTGCGCTGGGACCTACCTGGGTCGGGCACGCCGTGAACCTGGCCAAAGTATCCAGGCAGGTCACTCTGCCGACGGACGAGCTGCGAGGTTCGGACTTTGGTACCTATAGTTAGAGCCTGAGGCGCGCAAGAGCGATGCTTGAGTTGATGATACACACTATAAATGAAGTCAAAATAAAGAGCGACACTAACTAGGGCTCCATTCGGGATTGGGAAAAGTCGGTACAACTGCACTTTCTGGACAGACGTGCAACAAATGAAAGCAGAAGGAAGCAGGGGAAGGAAGAGACTGACCTCAGAACAACGCGGGCACTCGAGAACGTGTCTGAGCGAGTCCCCCTGGTCGAGCCCGCACGCAATACAAAGTTTGGTGGCACCCTTGAAGCGCCCGCTGCAGGTCCAACAGTTGCATGTCGGTTTCGAAAGAACCGAGAGAACGCAGGACGGGACTTTATCCGACACCCTGCGAAAAGCACACTGCAGATTCTGGCCCTCGCTCCTACTCAGAGGCCCACCCAGCTTGGCAACCCGTTTTCCGATCATGACGAAGGGGCTCTGGGCATTCAGGCTCATGGGGTATTTTTCCATGGCGCGCTGGATGAAGGGGGGCATCTCTCGGGGCTGCTGGAAGACAGGTGAGTGCCATACGATTGTCGTACAAGTTTTTCAAGATGCTGCCCATGCACATCGGGTGATTCTGCCATGCGAAGCAACACTCGTCAGTGGTGCTGAAGTTAAACAAGTGCGCCACCGCGTCAGAAAAAGCCCGGACGCGCTCGGCAACTCGAATCCTGGCAGCCTGGCTTCGCACTCGAACAGACGCGGCCTGGATCGGGGAGCCAATGCTCCGGAGATTCTGAAGGTCCTGGGACGGGATGGCGTTGAACGGCCCTCGGGCGATCACCTGGAGCATCCTCTCCTCCCCCCCCTTGAGAACAGCTGGCGTGGGCGCGTGCAAGTGGCCGACATACGACAGGACAGAGTTGCACAGCATGTTAAAGTGCGAGACGGACTTCGCGAGCCCGAGGTTTAGGCCCTGGACCATGCCCGAGCGCTCCTTAAACTTAGTCAGCGGACAAGACCAGCTTTCAGAGCACCCATTCTCCCCCATCATGATCCCCAAGTATCGAGCGACAGTGCGAACCTGACATTTAGCTAGACGGCCCAGCCGAGCGATCGAGCAGCGAAACTCCTCCTCCGTGTACCCCCCCCCCCTACCAGGACGACAATCTTTTCTCGATGTGGATGCGGAGCCCAGGGGCCGCGCCAGCCAGGGCCCATATGCCGATAGCAATCGGGAGTGACATCTCTAAGTTACTGCTGGCCATGCCGCATGTCGTCTGCGAAGGCTACGCACTCGTGCAGCGGCCGTGGCAACTTGCACGCCAACATGCGCAAGATGGGGTCGTCCGCCAGCGCGAATAACGAGCCCGACATCGGGCAGCCCTGCTTAATGCCCCTGGCCAGGATAAAACCGTGACTCCGATTGCCCCTGAAGGAGACGGCGATGAAAACGTTGGAATAAACAGACTGGATTGCGTGTGTCACATTCCGAGGAGAACGCATCTTCCCAAGGGTGAACATGAAGGCCGCGTGAATCAGGCTGGGGAACGCGGCTTTCACATCGAAAAAGACGCAACCGCTCTTCTGCATACTCTGCTGGACCAGCCAGTGAAGACGCTTAGACTCTAAGCCCAAGATGTTTCCAAGCATCTGACGGCCTCTGACGAAACCCCGCTGTTGCTGAAACACCACCCGTTGGCAAACGGCCCCGAAGGGAATGTTGCTAGCCGCGGGGGCGATCTTATTGTCCGTGTCCGAAGCAGAAAATGGTATACCGTCGGGCCCAGGTGCACTATCTGGGGTCCTTTGCATGATATTCATGAACTGGTCGAAAGATACCCCCCAGCGAATCTCAGGGGGGACCTCCTGGATGAACGGTTCAAAGCACCTCAGAGCATCCCGAGAAACGGCCGTCTCTTATGCCGCTCCACGACCGTGCTTGCGGTTCTTCGACTTCCAGACACTCTTGTACGCGCACAAGGAGTTAATCCTACCCTGCCTCTTAGCCTCTGAGAGGTTCCCCTCCTGCCTGAGCACCTCCATCTCCGAATCTAAGACCTGCGTCTGAAGTCCTCCAAGAAACGCATCAAACTCAGGATGTCTAGTAAGGCGGCATTCGGCGTAGTTAAAGTAGGCGTTGAGCTGCGGGTATGCCTTCAGGGCCCTGTAGAGCACCGCGGAGTGACCTGACCTGACAGCCCGAAGGGCTGCAAGAGCGACTCGCCTCCGATACGGCCCCCAACTCCTCCAAGTCTTTCCTGAGAGCTTGGCGGCCCCAATCAGACAGTCCCGAACCTCGACGCTGGCCTCCAACGGGTCCTCGGATAGACCTCCAGCGCCTGCAATAGTGGCCTCGGCAACCTGCTGGCACCTCGGGTGCTTGGTGACCCAGGGCGGGATGCGACTGGAGCAACTGGTGGAAGGCTGGAGCGAAAGCGCCACGGGAACGTGATCAGACAGCCGTTCGAGGTCCGCCGGGGAGCCGAGGGTTTTTGACGCCGGGTGGAGATCGCACAGATCACCAGCAGGAGACCTGACGTAGATTCGGTCCAGACGGCTCAGGGACTCAATGTGCTTACGCTCGCCTTGCCAGCCTTCAACTCGGTGCGTGAAAGAAGCCTGATCCACCTCTGCCAGGTGGGGGTAGCCGATCGAACTCTGTAGCGGTCGACTGGCCGCTGCTAACGAAGCGCCTGTCCGCGTGGTGAGACCCTTCACCGCGAGCAGCAAAGTTGAAATCGCCCAGCACAATCTGCGAGGCGCACCTCGCTGGAACTAGAGCCCGTCGAACTCGCCGAAGCTGGTTTTGTTTTGTTATAGGCATATGATTGTGACCCAGACGTATATTGATAACTTGTAGACGCTGCTTGTTGTTATAGAGCGTGAGGCTATGAATGCGACCTTTTCATATGATATCATGCTCAGCGTGCCTGAAGAGCCTCTGAAGCTTAGGATGTAGAAGAATGAGACAGCCTCCAGAAGTAGTCGGGTCCAAAAACGTACCAACACCAAAAGCTTGATAAACTTCTTTGCAAAAGTATTCACGATGCTCCTGAGACCCACGAGCTTCCTGGATGCAGACTATGTCATATCTGGAACAGAGTGATACAATCTTACCGTACTTGGCCCTGTGTGTGGCCTGGGGAGCGTAGGTTGCGCCGGACAGAGAGCGCACGTTCCACGTGCAAATCGCAAAGGGCTGGTCGGGCACGAAAGGCACGAGCCACTCGAAATCTGGCCTGCCGTCAGCAGACCCGCACGTGGAGGAGGAAGAAGCCCCAGAAGAAGTGCCGCGCGAAGAAGACCCAGACGGGCAGGACGAAGAAGAGGACGCGGCGGCGCTCAGGTTAACATCAGACATTGAATTCCCAGTTCGTCTCTCATGTGGCTGAAGGGCTTGGGGCGACGGCGAAGTTGGAGAGGAGGACGTAGTCGCTGCGATGCTTGGCGAGACAGCAGCGTGTCCACTCTGCATAGCAGCACCCAAGGGGCCACCAAGAGTCGGCCACGAGCGGTGCGTCGTAGAAGGCCGGTGGAGAGTCAGCCCAGTACATGTCCGAGACAGCAAGGTGGTTTCCTAGCGCGGCACGGTAACTGCGGCCATGGACTCGGCCTTGGCCTTGTCGATGCCCATCGCCGCCAAGTTACCAGCTCGGGCTTCACGTCGAACTGGTTCTGCTCGAGCTCGTCGACCTGGAAGAGGGCACTGCACTCGTCGTTATTGATCCTGAAGAGCGTGCCTTTGAAGCCCTGCGAACCGAGCTTCATACCTTGGCGCCAGCCGCTCTTTTCACGAAGATGATCAGCCACGCGGGTCCACAGCAAGCCGAGCTCCTTGCTGCGACGCCTGACCGGCGAGGGGGCGTCAATGCGTGCCCTCATGGGCACCTGCACGCGAGTCTTGGGGTCATCCCAGCGCATGCCCTTGGACCTTACCTGCTCCACGAAGTCTCTCGCATGCATGTCCGATTAGAACTCAAGGCTGAACGAGGAGTTGAGGTTGTGAGCGCGCGGTGTGAAGTTGACTCCCTGCGGCACGAGCGCCTGCTGCTTGATCGTGTCGGCGAAGGCCATCATCACTTTATCTAGTAC